TCTTGTATTTATCTCGATTTACCATCTAATGTAAACAGAGAATACAGAAAAAATATTTGAATGGATATCAGAAGGGAGTTGTGAACTCCACCGCATAACTTAAAATTATTAGTTTTGAAAATTTTAATGCCATTGTCGAGCCCGTAATTAGGTGGTCAGAAAACTCGAAATATATAAACAAGTATACGATGAGTTAAAATTATTGTTTTGAAGAACTGTTCTTGTTTATAAACGGGAAGGTCAAGCCGGGTTTGATTATTGCAGTTAATATGTCTGCTTGAAATTAAATGTGGTCGACAAAAAATGATTTAGTGATATGTTCCCTAATTTCGTAGCTAAAATGGTTTTTACGAGCATATTTTCCAAACATTACTTTTGAATAACACTTTTTCCGTTTACAAGCATCAAAGAAGTAGAAGTTATTATTCAAGATAACAAACTCGTGAATAAAACAACTGGATATAACTTTGCCATAAAAAAAATTGCCATAAAACCATATTTTAATGGTTTTTAATGGGAAAAAATAGGAAAAAGAAGTAAATTAGAAATATAATGTTGTTTATAAAAAAAAATTTTACAATATAAGTGTGTTGGCACTAAAGAGCTAAGGATATTTTATAAACCAAGGAGTTTTCTCTTTTCTCGAATTGAGTTGTATAATGTTTAGAATTTTTAAATACCAAGTACAAGTTTTAGGCTTCCGTACTCTTTAGTTTTTTTTTTGTTATATATAAAAAATTTAAACTATATTAATAGTATTGTTATTTTAAATTTAGCAGTGCTCTATGACAAGTTTGTCTCCTTCAAGCACCTTAATATCTCGGAAAATAAATATGTAAGAAGAATGGTTATGCATAAAAATTTTTGTTTTCGTTTAAAATGCAACATTAGTTATTATAGCATTTCGTATTCGATAATAATATATAATAATTAAATTTAATATATAACAATTGTTTGATTTACGATAATAACATTACTATTTGTATTGTAAACGAAAACACAAAAACTTTATCTGTTACTAGTACCGAAACAAAATAATAAATAAAAACTCTAACTTATATTTCCACTAGTATGTCAGGAAAAAAAAAAAGTTTAATAATGTGTTAATTAAAAAAAATAAAATAAAAAGTATGCAAAGTGTTAAAAGTCCATTCCTAGTGAACACAGACTTCAGGATGTCAGCTGAACGTCGAGCAGACGTAAATTTATATATAAATTTATCAAGGTTTAAATATTCGGGCGAGAATTCCTTAAAACCGCTTTTCCTTAACTACGCCACTCTATCTACGCGAGATATTTTTTTTTCACACCTAAAATTTATGTAAGAAGAAAAAAATTTTGATTTTTTTTTCAGGGAGGAGTGGGGGCAAGATATCGAATTTGAATCGATAAATGAAATGTTTAATAAATAATATTTATTTCAATGGTTTAAATGATTTGGCATATTCACAATCTCTACCACACAATTTTTATTCATGTTCTTTGCTTTAATTGAACTTTGATTAAAAGTTTTCAATCAAAAAAGAGTGGGATAAATTTATTGTCTAATAATAAAATTCTCGCATATTTTGTTTAGGTTATTTTTGAATGCATTATTTCAGGATTTCTTTTGCGCTAATTGGTGATAAATGATGTCTTAATCGTGTGTGTTTATGTTGAATAAATAGTGAGTTTTTTTAAACCTTTTTTGCAAAATTTTGATTTACAACAATTGTTTAGTTCCCAAAAACAAATAATAAATAATTTATAAACATCCGCTCTCTGGTGTCGGTAGACGCGATTTCCTCGGGAAGTTATAATCGAGACGACTTAAGCAAATGGACTGAAAAAGCAAAGAAGATTTTGCTTAACTTAGTTTAGTTGTTTTATATATTGTCCAGTTTTTTTTCAACCTGGCTTCTGTTTCTTTGTTATTTCTGTCTTGCATTTTCCTAAAGCTTTAAGCTTTTAAAACCTAAAACCAAATTTTGTCAAAGTATACAACATAAAAGTTTAAATATAATTTAACTATAAATTTATAAAAATTAATATTTAACTCTACACCACTACACCGCGACTGCATAATAAAAGAAACAATATTAGAAAAAAGGCATGTTTCAAAATTGTAGGGTAGCCCCAGACACATAGTTTAACCATGATGTTACCTCTTTTTTACAAGTGTGACACAAATATGATGAATAAGTATTTAGCATTGGACTGTTCTCAACACATTTTTAAAAAAATTGCCTTTCAAAATCGCCTCTGAAAATGTCATCATTTAGAAATATAAACATTAGCTTCATACTAATGAAAAAAATCACTTAAAAACACTTTTTTCAAATTTTAGGTCTTTTTATTGGAATTAAATGAATTACTATTATGGGTTTGTGTATTGTATTAAATGTATTATTATTCATATAAAAACGTTGCTCATTAATTTGTTAATAGATTAAGTTGTCCGGAACCACCCTCCAAACATGTATCCATTACCACCCGATCATACTTCTGGTGGTCAGAAACAATATCTTGAACTCCCTAGCCAACCGCTTCAGCGAGTTATGATAGATATTTGCGTATAACATATTTCTACTCAAATAATATTTTTATAGTATTTAAAATCGCATAGCTTTTTTAGTTAAAGCTGTACATTAAGTGTCCTGAGTTACCCACAGTCCGGGGCTACCCGACTTTCCCCTACAATTAAAGTTTTTTTGGTAAAATTTAATATAATTAAAAAAATTTTTATTTAACATGTTTGAGTTCTAAGAGTTACATGATAATTATTTAACAATCAATTTTGTAAGCGCAAGTTTTGCATTCGAATAATTATTCTTTAACCCTAACAAGAAGACAGGGTATAATTCAACTCTTGTATTTAATTTCAAACAAAACTGTGCTGTTTAAAGATAAGATTGGGCTAGCTCCAGATAAATTAGTATGAAAGTATCGAATTAAAATACCACCAATTATATCGAATGAGAATAGTACCGAAAAAAACCAGACCAATATTGGAATGGTCAAGAATAGCATCAAAATCAACTAAAAAAAAAGTATTGGAATGGATGGAAATAGTACCGAAATGAACGAGACTAATATTGGAATGTTATTTAAACAAGACAAGCATCCGGAGTTCTTTAATAAAAAGGCCAATGGAATGTTTTATTATAAAGACAAGTATCGGAATGTTTTATTAAAAAGGCCAGTATCGGAATGTTTAATTAAAAAGACAAAAGTTTTTTTCTATCACATATCAACAGTAACATCACAAAGTAATGTTTAGTTTTGTCGTATCATCCTGTTCTAACAAACATTTTTATTATTCATTTTTCTTAAACTGCGATTAAACTATTTTATAATATAAATACTTGAAAAAAAATCTCACTCGGGCAGTAAAATCGTCATCTACGAGGACGGAAACAACTTTATTAAACGCTATTATGACAACACTCAGAAACAATATAATGTTAAAACACGTTTTTAACATGGTTCAAGTAAAACAAAATAAATGTTTAACAATACTTTTATTTTTTTTTCATCGGTCAAAGAATATACATAAGCTCTTTACATTTTGAAATAAATATAAAAAAAAAATCTTTAAAGTATTTTTTGGCATTTTAATGAGAATATAAGGAAGTTTAAGTATATATGTGTGTGTGTGTGTGTGTGTGTGTGTGTGTGTGTGTGTGTGTGTGTGTGTGTGTGTGTGAGTGTGAGTGTGTATATATATATATATATATATATATATATATATATATATATATATATATATATATATATATATATATATATTGCGTTTTATGGTCAACGTTAGCTAAGAGCGTTATGACGTGAAAAATCGCAACTGTTTTGAGCAATTATTTTAAAGCTATGTTCAAAAAATTAATAATTATTAATTTATTATAAATAAATAGATCGTTATATAATTATAAGACTGAGTATTAATTTTATTATTATTTCTTCGATGGAATTTATAAAAAGCGTATTAACTTTTAATGTAGAATGATCGTCAAAACTTAAAAAACTTTATTCTTTTAATAACAATAATACAATACAATTATTCTTTTATTTCAATACAATTTATAATATAATGATTTAACATATTTAAATATTTTAAAATTTGTTAAATTATTAAATCATTTTTAAGAAAAGTAATCCTATAATTTTTATATTAAATTTTATTTTACGATGAATACGATTTTTTTTATTTTCTGAGTGTATGGAATTCTATTTTAAACTGTATTATACTATACATTATACTATATATATTATAAGTCTATTATACTACATATATTAATTAATCATATTTATAAGCTAATGTATGTCAAAATGGCATAACTGTGTTTTTTAATATAACTTTATTTTAAAAAATTTATTAAAAAATAAACAAAAAGTCATTTGACTCCGTAACGAAATTTGTTATGTCATATATTTATATATTTATTTATTCAGCCATCAATCTTTATTATTTACAAATTTATTGAAATCATGCACAGTAAAAAAGTTCGTGGTAAGAATTTATCTAAAATGCATATTCTAGTTATCGACGGAGAGGGACAAGGACCCCTCCCCCTCCCCCTCTTTTCTAATAACATTTGCAATTTATGGCTGCGCTAGCCAAATTGAGAAGTGTGAATAAACTTTACTATTAAAGTTGAGTGTTGGTAAGTTTACTTTGGTAGTTAATAAGGAATTCCAGTTTTTAATCCATCGATTAGTAAAAAAATTACTAATTGCGTCAATGCGTTTTGTCAAAGCTAACTTTAGTACGACTTTGGGATCTATACTTTTCAGGCAATATCAAGTTCTAGTTTCTAATTGGTAAATATTTTCAGCAATCCAACCATCTAAGTACACTTATTGTTAAGAATTGTCTAAAAAATAAGTACACTTATTGTTAAGAATTGTCCAAAAAATATTCATTTAAACAAGCATCCGGGATATTTGCAAACTTATGTTTTTCTGACCAGTTGTATCTTTGGGATGTAGCCAATTTGTAACTGATTTAGAATAGAGTGATGAGG